GTGTTGTTATATTGATTATAAGTGTTGTTATATTGATTATAAGTGTTATATTTATTATAAGTGTTGTTATATTTATTATAAGTGTTGTTATACTTTGGTTTCAGAGACAAGTTATTGTCTGTAAATGAACGGTCGAACGTTTCACGTCACTTTCAGGCTGGTAACAAGGTTTTACATGGAAACACTGTAGTTTAACAGTATCCTCTGGTTTCTCCTCGTACCTGGCTCTGCACTTGATGTCACATCTTTTGGTCTTTATGACATTAGTGATAAGTGAAAGTGGTTGTTATCAAAACTCCTGAAGGGAGAGAAGTCCAGAGCGTGCCACATAAACAAGTTCAAACCCCACCTGTTGGGGGTGAAGCTCCTCCAGGCAGACGCTTCTGCAGCACAACCCAGTGGCGGCTCTGCACCTGAACCAGGTTCAAAGGCCCGGATGTCTTTCTGTGTCAGACCATGCGTCCTCAGGGGTTTAGTATTTTTGTTTAAACCAAGGTTTTTGTAAGAACACAAGAATTAAAGCAAATAAAACCCTTTTGACTGAAAGTTTATTCTGCACCTACAGATTTGTCGTAGACCTGCAGCCCACATCAACAACAGTATTCAGGTAAAACGAATCGGTCAAAATAAATAAGTAAAAGCTTCCACTGAAAGTCAGTTATGGAGAATGTCATGCTCAGCATTCCACGTCTTTAAGTGATCAAGATGTGCTTACACTGTCAGAGATGAGCTCTTCCATCATCTGCACGTGCTTCTGAGCGTCACTCTGCAGGCTCTTTACGATGAGAAGCTGCAGAAGAAAAACAAGTGTCTGCAGCCAGTCATCCTCCACATAAACTCTTGTTTTTAATAATATGCTCTTGTTTTGATCATTTCACACGGATTTATTGTTTTATACACTGCTCTTATTTTAACTGCATTTTACTGGAGTTTATTGTTACTGTCTGTCCTTTATATGTTCTGTCTGGAACAGGTGTCTCTTGTAAACGAGTCCTCGTGGCTCAATGACACTAACCTGTAGAAATAAAGTTGGAATAAATAAAAAAGATGCAAGATGCCTGTGACCCGTGAAACGTTCAGCTCGTCGCAAACCCTCAACAGACTCACCTGCTTCTTTTCTGCATATTTCTTAGCAGCCAGTTCGAAGCAGAGGCTCTTCACTTGTTTCTGGAGGTACACCACCTCCACCTCTAGCTGCCTGCTCCGCTCCTTCTGGGCCTGCAGAGCGAGAGCCAAGGCCTTGTTGTTGTTCTTCAGAGAGACCTTAAAGAAGGACGAGGTGTCTGCGGGGTCACGACAGAGCCTTCACGTTACTCAACACCTTGCACAGGTATGCATGTGCGTGGATGTTTCTGTGCCCTGAGACAACATCGCTTGTGATTTGATGCTTTATACATGAACTGAAGTGAACAGGGGAGCCACGACGCTCAGAACTTACTGAGGATCTTGTTTTTGATTTTTGAAGCTACGGCTGAAGTCTGCTTGGACGGTGTCGCCCTCTTCAAGGGGAACATCATTAGATAGATGTGAAGGTCCCAGCTGGAGGTCTATGATGACGGAAAAAAGAACAACAAAAAGACACGAATGTCAGTCGTGCTTTACCAGGAGCGCAACAACAACAACAACAACAACAACAACAACAACAACAACAACAACA